CTTCAACAGCCAATTTGCTACGGCGCATGAACAACGCGATATAAATACTACAACAATCATTATTGTGTTAATTAATGAATGATTATTTAGATGCAATTCTAGAAAGAACATTCTTGTTTACTGATATTTTTGTGTGCGTTTTTGACGTTGTTATTAAGATTATGCAACGTGCAAAAAATATGGAGGCTTGGCCCTCACAAGTCAACAGGCTCATCCCCTCTGAGCCCTTCCACCACCACTGTTCCACACGTAATTAATTATTGTAATTATTTCTAGTTTTAAGTTGTTACATTAATTATCTCGCTGGCATTGTCAGAGAAAAAGCAAACGCGGGCAATTTGGAAATGTTCTTAAAACGACGATAGGAAAAAGAAATACTGAAGATCTCTTAATTAAAGGAAATATGTATTGATATTAGTTTCATTCACAGGTGCTGGGGATAACTATATGATAATCAATCCACATGTCGGGACAATGCACATTCCGGAATTCAACATTCCACCTATCGGGACAAATGGGCGCGACAACAAAGCGGAACTGTTCAGTCTTGGGATTACAGGATCTGTTTGCATGAAGTTTTACTTTTACTTCAATGGAAATGAAACTGGACATTTAAAAATCTTGGTCAGGAACTATCGTTCTTATAAAGATCGCGTCGTTTTCCATCGCTATGGAAATCATGGCCATAAGTGGAATTTTGCCCAGATTTATTTGGATTCCGTTCCAAATACCGCTTATCAGGTATTGCGCTCAAAACTTGTTGTACCCTAATTCACCTAAATAAATTATATCCATTTTTTATACTGTAGTTTTGTGGCGTTCACAATAATAATAATATATTTTTTCTTGCCCGGACCATTATTTACAATAAAAAAATTCTTTTAAACATGAAAATAATTCAAAATACCAATAGAAATAATTTTACCAGAGCCAACGACGCGGATCGCCGTTCAGGGCGTAAGACCGGGGCGAGGATACTAATCCCCTCGGCTATTTACTCCCGGGGTAAGGAACGCACTAGCGAAGTTTAAATTCATCAATTATTGCGGGCGCGGTTCATGGGTCTATAGGTGGTCATCTCACTGATCTTTGTTCTAATTGTTATGCACACAAAATAAATTGTAATTTTTTTTTTTTGGGGGGGGGTCTCTAAATTAATTTTAAAACAAATAAATAATCGCAGTTTAAAGTGCTTATATCACTTGTGGGACCTTTAGGGATTCGAAAAGAGCGTAAAAAGTTAGTTAATAGGTTCAAAAGATTTTTTTGATTTAGTGCAATAATTTCAAAGATACAGAGCTCTAAACTACCTACAGTTCCTGAGTCCCAGGCTCCCATTGACAATGGACAGTTTCAAAAAAGCCAAAATTCAATAGCCGTGATTGGACCCCAGGAACCTGGGACTCAGGAACTGTACGTAGTTTAGAGGCCTGTATCTTCGAAATTATTGCACTAAATCAAAAAAATCTTTTGAACTTATTAACTAACTTTTTACGCTCTTTTCGAATCCATAAATGTCTCACAAGTGATATAGGCGCTTTAAATCGCCTGAAATAATCAGTTGTTTATTTTCGTAATCGAATTTCTCAATAAAGTTCTCATAGTCATAAAGGTGTGAGTAGTAAGTTGAAGCTCGAGTTGAAGAGTTTATAAATATCGGCAAAAAGCAGTTAATTTCTATTCACATTTCAAAATTCATTAATAATTCATGAAGCAATTATCCAATCTTGAGTAAGAAATTAGTCACGTGCATACGTCTTTATACCAGCGAAAGAACACTTTAACAAAAGACCGTTGTTATGCAAACTATATAAAGACTTTTATATAAAGATTATTATATAAACATTTTTATATGAAGATTGGACTTATTATGCAAACGTTTTCGAAGCCATTTAAAGAACTCGCAGGTCGTGTTTTATTAGGTCTAAGGCTTTAAACCTAATAAAACACGCCTGCTCCTTTTTTAAATAGTACTTAAAAACGTTTTACGTAGAGTTTCGTTTTGAATTTTACATTGAAATAACGCCCATAGGAAGCAAACTAATATGCCTACTTTATGTATTTTAGAAATTGATAGTTCAGTATTTTGTTTGTACAAAAAATTAAAAAAACAATTATCGCGTTGCCATGACTAGCATGACGTGGCAACGCTAGCCTGCGTTCAGTGTTGGCGTAATTACGAGTACTTCATGTTGAAACAATGTTTGGAAAATACTGGTCCGTGCTTATTGCATGCATGTATTTACAGTATGCTTATTAATTGAATCGCCCATAATTGCAATAGACTTTAGAGATCTTTGTGCATTTCGATGTCGTACCTCTTTTATTTTTTATCTTGTTGCTATAACTTCCAATTTCCCTCTATTATTTCATCTTGAAAAATTACACTTACGATTTCTTGTCGACTGTTTTGGGTAGAATCTTGTCACGCTTCATCGACGTCTATTGATTTTTCTAGATCAATTGCGCTTTCGTTCTCTGAATTTGTGGTTTCCCCTTCGTCGCTTGTCCTTCGATTTCTTTGCTTTTGGCGTTGAGATTTTTCACAAGTGTTGCATTGCCGGATCTTTAAGACGGATCTACACTAGACGATTTTTGAGACGATGTTTATGACGATCGTCATAAAAATTCGTGACGATTTAGAGACAAGTGGAGATGTACTAGCAGCAAGAAGAACAGCGCGGAATCTTATTGGTTGAAAATATGACGATCGTCAAGCGCTCGACGAAAAGTAGAACTAGTTTCTACTTTTCGTCGAGCGCTTGACGATTCTTGACAATCCTTTTACGATCACTTATTTCCTACTGCGCATGTTCGCGGCGAATTTTTCAGACGATGTCATAAAAATCGTCTAGTGGAGATCCGCCTTTACGACCTGTGATTGTCAACTTTCACACACATCTTCAGATAGTTTGGATGTTGGATAGAATCTTGTGACGCTTCAACGACCAAGTTTGAAAATCTGATTGTCGTTATAACATCCTTATCACATTTTGCATTAGAATCAAAGAAGATTCTTATAGTCAAGGTTTATGCTGATTATTTTTAGAGACTTTTCCCAAAGTATTGCTCGCATTTACATCACCTTTTAGATCATTCTCTTGTAATATTGTAAATGCCGTGATTAAGTTCTTCTTCTCTTCCTCAATCATAAAACCGTAAGATCCTTTCAATTTCTATTGAAGCATGAGACGACTCCCTCGAATAATCACAAACATATATGAAAAATTCCTTGTTTGGAAGCTCTTACTATTATTCCATATAATTGAAGCGTCCTCAGCGGCAAAAGCCTTTTAAAGTATTTTTAGTGATTCGAAATCTCCGTCCAGGCTGTCCAAGATTTCAGCGTCGATTACTCGCTGTGCTTTTTGGTACGTTAATTTCACTTATGCTCAAGAAATTACCATTTGCGAAGTAGAGTAACGAACTCAAAATAACGCGTCTATAACCACCATGTTAATTAATAATACACGGAATAAAACATCTAATAGCCCTGTTCTAATAAATAATCAATATTCATGCCTTGAAAGACTTTCATGTGAAAAACGTATTGATACTGCATGTTCAAAGATTGGTGGGCGACATTGGTGCAATGCGACCAGTTAATGCTTTTATTTATTAACTTTACAATCATACAAAAAATATAAAATTTATTGAAGATATGGTCAACAGGACATGAGTCCCATGTGAAGACCAACCTGATACAATATAATACAATAGGTAGACATACATTAAAGACAAGGACTAGAACACTATTTACATAGCTATATAAAAATTAATAGTTTAGATTATGAGCAATAGCTTAAGTTGAAAGAACGGCATTTAGAGCAGAAGGTTTTCTAAGTGTGCATTCTGTTAATATCGAAAGAAGAGTCTTATTGAGAAGAGTAGTGGAAATGGAGCTGGAGCTTAAAGGATGAAACAGACGAACTGTTACGAATGATCGAAGAGAGATTGTTTCATAGAAAGACAATTCGGTTAAAAAAAAGAGTTTCTAAAAAGAGAGGTTTTGCACGGATTTACTTGAAGCAAGTTGTCCTTACTTGAACGGGTGCGAGATGAACGATTAGAAGAAAAGGTGACAAAAGAGGAGATATCTAGGTCGTAGACGCCTTGTTTGCATTTAAAAAACCCAAAAAAACTACCGATGCCGAAAATGTTATACAATGCTATTGCGCAGCACTATTATGTTAACTGTAGACAACTATATGGGTTATTGAATATTAACATCATATATGCTGCAACAGTAGCGATGTTCCATCTCATGAACTTCTTAAAACTGTAAATTGGAAATCTGTAGGAGTAAGACGAAATTACGTAAAAAATATTTTCATGCATAAAATTATAAATGGCAACACTGCCCCGAATCTAAAAGAAGTTTTTCTTTCAAATATAAAAAGACGAAATACTTACAATTTCGGAAATAGGTATTGATTTAGCTCGATCTTTCTAATCTGAAAAAATAATTCGGGAGGAGACGATTCACATAGGAATAATATTACACGCGAGGCAAAAATTACTGATTCCCTAATCATTAAGTTCCTTCAAAACGATTTTGAAACACGAATGAGTTGAAACTGGCTTGTTAGTCATGCGAAATAACAACGTAGCAGTTTTTGTAAAGCTTTCCTGTCAAACTATCTCCAAAATATTTTGTAAATAGTTTATGTTCAGGGCCCCTTGGAAATTAGCCGAAAGGTTGTTGGCGGCCGCATGAGAAAGTAAACGTTATGTTTGTAAGCGTGTGTTATACAATCACTGAAATATAACAAGATCACGAAGATGCCCATATTACAACCAATTATCATCTTATACTCCAAAGGATAACCAAGTTATTGACCTGAGTTTCATAACAGAGTGCAATTAGCAATCGATGTTTTTCACCCACGATTAAGACAACTGTTCTTCTTTGAAACCATCAAGGTAAACTGAATTCAGTGTATTTTAAGCACGAATTCTTGAGGCCAAAATAAGCGGTCCAATTATGTACGGTTGACATCGGTGTTGTCTAAAACGTCACTCGCATCAGCTTTCTAATTATACGATATCGACGTACTCCTCTAGTCAGGGCCCCCAGTGAAATTCGGGGGTCTCAAACAAAGTTTTAATTCCGGACCCTATTTTCCCCCAAAAATGTTGGGGGAGGGGTTAAAATTGTTTTCGGGACATCTCCTAAAGAAAAACTTTAAAAAAGTTCCGGACAAATACCAGTTAATTTAAGGATCAAAAAAATTGTTCCGGACAGATACATGTAAAACTACTGTTAATTAAAACGCATTTTTTCGGTCCGACCCCAGGAAATATACTTTTGTGGATTCTCCTTTCGCAAATTTTAGGCCCCCTTTAATCGCGGGCCCGGAGGAAATTGCTCCAACCCTTTCCCATTTGATAGCCCCTGCCAGAATTCTTTAATTCCAGGCATTTAGGAGACGCGTTCGCGCTTTAAGTAAGATAATATATACCAATTTTTCTACCAATTATTTGGTATTTATTTTAGATCATTATTTGGGGCGACAACGCGGGACCAAATATCACAGGAAGCATTGCTATAGATGATATATCATTCGAAAATGGAACTTGTGACCAACTACCTCAAGGTAAAATTACCACTTTATTCTGTAGTTGTGTCAATTATGTTTAAATCAATGTGCCCGAGCTGACGATCGATTACTTGGCATAACGTTAGAGTGTATTGAACTATGTAACAATTGCTGTAGTCAAGGCCGTATTACGTCTGGGGGGCGGGGGATGAAAATAAAATTCGGGCAATCCAATTTTCATTAATTTCGATCTAACACACCGTAATATCGACGGCCTTTCAATAATAATTTCGGTAAATATACAACCATTGCTTTTCAATAAATTATGTAAATATTTTTCCTCTCATTCTTCTCATTTTTTTCCCGACGAGCATGTACTCTTATTTCTACAGCAAAATAATGGCAATAAATATAATTTTTCTGATACAATATTGTTGGTCTTGATTCTCCAGTCCTAATCTAGGACCTGTATAGATGTTTGTATGCGTTTAATTTAGCACAGGTAATATCAACTGTTTTAGGGTAAATTGACTATGGCGGTCAATATACATATTTAGAAGGGCTAGCAACAGCTAACTATGGGCATGCAGGGAAGAATAGCTTAGAACTGAAAGATTTATCCTGTAAGCGTAATTAACTTTTTCTTACTTCGCATTTTTCGTTTTTTCCACTTTAAATTTAGACAGTACAACTTTTAACTGTACATTTGGTACTGGCAAATGTGGGTGGAATTTTCTTGGACCAATAACTACTGAATTTCACAGAGGTAAATAAAATTAATGTGTGGAAAAGAGGGGTGTCGATTAGTATCCCTGCAATAAGAGAATTTATCTTTGAACCAACAGTTAAGTGTTTGAAACGTATTATTTAGGGACAATCTTCCTTAAGAAAAGTGTAATAAGTGTATCTGAATCGTTTGCTAGAAAATGTATTCTATAGTTCTATTGCGTTTCATTTCTGCAATTACTAAATGACACTTTAATTTAACGGAGCCTGATTAAACGGATCATATATCGTTTGTATTTAAACACCTCTTTTGCACAAATGTTGGCTTCCAAATTTGTACTATACTCCCAAAAAGACGTACAAGTGCTTTTGCGCTGTTTAGTTTTGATGGTTAACTCTAATTAAACTAAACATTTGATTTTCAATATTTATGCTTGTGATGTTACTCTGAGTGTATATCCACACCGGGAAAGCTTGAAAAATATGCCTGACCTCGGTGAGAATCGAACTTACGACCTTTGGAATACTAGCCCGCTGCTCTACCAACTGAGCAACGCGGTCTGGTCGGTTCGAGTATGTGATATTTCGGAACAGAATCTAGTTCCTTCGATATCAATGTTATCTAATAATAATCATGATTTTTCTGTGTTGCATGGTTCAACGTTATCTAATAAAAATCATGATTATTATTAGATAACATTGATATCGAAGGATCTAGATTCTGTTCCGAAATATCACATACTCGAACCGACCAGACCTCGTAGCTCAGTTGGCAGAGGATTGGGCTAGTATTCCAAAGGTCGTAGGTTCGATTACCACCGTGGACAGGCATATTTTTCAAGCTTGCCCAGAGTGGATATACACTCAGAGTAACATCACATGCAAGCATCATATTCACCTGAGTACATAACACCAACACAGAAAAGTCATGGTTTTAATATTTAGTCAACATGATAGCAATCAGGCCCAGAGCTACGGGGGGTTTGGGGGGTGTGACACTCCCCCAGTAATTGTGTTCAGTCGGCAGGACTGCTATTCAGTCGGTAGGACTGCTATTCAGTCGGTAGAACTGCTATTTGGGTTAAATATTTTTGGCGCAAAGGGCAAGAACGTGGTGGTAATTTTAGGAAAATTTTGAGGAAAAATGTAAAAATTTTGGAAAAAAGTAAAAAAATGTTAAAAATTTGCTATGAGCGGAAAATTTTTGTATGTCCGGAAAAATTTTTGTACCCTTAAAATGGTACACTGACCGAAATTTTTTTGGCGACGGGGGGGGAGTCGACAAAAAAATTTTTTGAAGCAGTCGGTTGAATTGAATTACACCCCCCTGAAGAATTTCCTGAGGACGGCCCTGATAGCAATTTATTATTTGAGTTTTTAAAATAATTGTCAAATTCTCTGCTATAAAACTACACATTAAGGTTTACAAAAATGCCAGTTGGCAGGTAGTGACAGAAAACTCCATCAGAATCTAACTTTCAGATTGTTTGCCGGTCGTCCATGTGCATGCTAATATCGCTTGTTTTTCCGTCTTAGGTCTAAATCAGTACACCGCTAGGAGCAAGATTCACAACTACTACTCAAGACCGACATTATCAGCCTTAAGAAGTCCAATTATTTATGAACACAATGCCTGCTTTACTTTCCAATATTACGAAACTTCTATTGGTTATTACAGCGACAGTAGAGTATCTGTATTCATTAGAATTGCAAATAACAGTCAGTTGCTTCCATCATGGACTAAAGATATTCATGAAGAACGAGGAGAATGGCGCACAATAAAGATTTTGCTGGCTCATCAAAGTGGTTTTAATCAGGTGAACTGTTTGTTTGTTAAAGTTTTGTTTGAATCTATTCGGCCAAGCAGTGAAGTTCTTCTCACTGAATCACGTCTGGCATTTTTCACGCGAAATCGCACATTTAAAATGCAACACGTTATCCCTATACCATGCGATAATTTTTTGTAGTAATAACGATTGCATGACCGAGCGCGCCTTCAAAGCAATACATTCGAGTGGGCTAGCATCGGCGAAGGATTGATAAATTCCTGCCAATGCTTGTTTAAATGACTTTCCAACACTGCCGGGTGTCACTAGAAAGACATTACGTTTCCAGTGAACAATTTCTTCGTATGCACCATTTATAATATCTCAAAAGTCGGTACCATTTATTTCGTTCCACTTGAAACTCTGCTGATCCTTATCCAACAGTTATTTTGGCTCACGTTTTGTTTTTACTCAAATTAGCCAACTCAATGTTGCCACAAGTTTAAGATAACTTAATATCTTAAAAGCTACGGGTATGGATAGCATACCTGCTAAAATACTTAAAATATCAGCAGATTTAATAACACCATCATTAACTGCCATTTTTAAGTTATCGCTTAATTCATGTCCTTATAATATTGATTCATTGAAAAAGGGTAGGCTAACACCAATCTTTAAATCTGAATATGAGCAAAAATGTGATCATTAGCGACCTATCTCAATTCTACCTATAATAAGTAAGATATTTGAGAAATAAGTCTTTGATCAGTTATATGAACATTTATCCCAAAATTTATTCCTTTCTAAATATCAATCAGGATTTCGGCCAAAACACTCAATGTGGGATCAGTGGTAAGAGAATATGGACAATGGCATGTTAAACGATGTTGTATTTCTTGACATTAGAAAAGCTTTTGACTCAATCAACCACTCTATTTTATTTGATTGATTGATTTAATTTAATTTGCCAGCAAAATGAACTAATAATTAACAAAATGAAACAAGAAGAGAAATAGTAGCGAGGAAACCCAAGTAGAAACCGGAAGGCTTATTGGAATCTTGGGTTACCTCATCAATATAAATTCACTGACATGCAATTATGGTTGCAAACGAACTAACAATTATAGTACGTTGATTAAAATAACAATGTTTGCACATAAAGAAGACAAACAAGAGAACAGTACAATGCAACACTATAACAAACACGAGAACTGATTAACTATAAAGAGTCAAAAGATATTTATTAAGTTTAAGTTGAAATGCTGAGATTGAGGGTGAATCTCAGACAGATGAATGAGCAATAGTACATTGATTAAAATAACAATGTTTGCACATAAAGAAGACAAACAAGAGAACAGTACAATGCAACAATATAACAAACACGAGAACTGATTAACTATAAAGAGACGAAAGATGTTTATTAAGTTTAAGTTGAAACGTTGAGATTGAGGGTGAATCTCAGACAGATGAATGAGCAATTTGGAATTTATGGGACTGAACTAAAATGGTTCGAGTGTTATCTAACAAAGAGACAACAAGTGTGTTTTTGTCAATGGTCATACATCGTCATCTAGACAAATAACATGTGGAGTCCCACAGGGCTGTTATTTTTACTATATATTAATGATATGACAAAGACCACTTAATTTCAACGTATTTCAATTTCAAATAACAGGTGGAGTCCTACAGGCCCTCTTATTTTTACTATATATTAATGACATGACACAGTGTCGAAAATCTACAACCCCTTTGTATTGATATTTTGTTGACGTTAGATAAAATAAGTAATATTAATCTCTAAGTTAATTAGTTAAAAATAGACAGTGGATATGATTGACAGTTTGCATGTTTCACGAGTCGAAAACAACATAAGGACAAGGCGTGTGCTTAGGAAAACTTACGAAGCAAATGTAGATTAAATTGTGTTAACCCGCCAAGAAGTAAGTTCATATTTGTGTATTAGAGTATGTATAGTGTAGAATTAGAAGTAATTTGTAGTTGTAATTAGTGCC